TGTTACAAAATGTCGGCACAGGCACAACGGAGGGATGCTAGGATCTAAGTTCTCTTCCTCTGAGCAGTTAAATTATCAGCATGTTCCCTCCCTAAATTAGCCGTCATATCTCACATTATCCAATTAGTGTGAAGGTCAAATGTTTTCTTCCTCTTTCTTTCCCGGGTTTTACCCCCAACCCCCCTTCTGCTCTGTATTAACCCCATAATTACCAGACAATTCTACATATTGTCAAAAGCAAGAATATACAATATTTGCAGCGTTGACACCTGTGCGAGCTGGCGGCAGCGGTGGCAGGTGTACCCACAGAGAGGGCTCTGAGTGCCGCCTCTGGCACGCATGCCATAGGTTCGCCATCACTGGCATAGGGTCTCCTGCTTGAGCAGGGGGTTGGACGAGAAGATCTCCTAGATCCCTTCTGACTCTGTTATTCTGTTATTTTCAACACTCCCTGCCAGATTCCTACAAGAAAAATCAATGGGGAAGCCAGCAGGAAGTCAGAAGTTGCTCCCACTCCTGCTGCTTTTTTGCCATGGTCATTCTGTTTCTCTGTTTAGGTAAGGAAATATCTCTAAATCATGAGTCTTAGGGCAGAATTCTTTTTTTAATTCCAGCAGTGCCACATTTTCTAAATCAGTGGTTCTCAACCTTTTTAATGCCGCGACCCCCCAACCAGTCATAAGTCGAGGACTACTCAACCGGTCGTAAGTCGAGGACTACTCAACTGGTGCAGCACCGTTTGCAGCATGGGGCTTTTGGCGGGCTCAGCAGGGCAGAGACAGCCTGGACAATTCCTATTGGCTTTTGAAAGCCAATAGAATTAGACTCTATTCAAGAGAGTATATTCTATTGGCTTTCAAAAGCCAATAGAATAAAAGGGAGTAGCACAGCTAAGGAAAAGGGGGGAAAAAATGGTGGACTGCATTGTTTGGCAACCCCCGTGAAATGGTCGTTCGACCCCAAATGGAGTCCCGACCCACAGGTTGAGAACCACTGGTCTAAATGTTTTTCCATCTTTCTGTTTATTCTTATTTTCCATTTTTTATTTTTTTGCCTTAATTTGTTTAACTTCTTCAGTTTCTTCAAATGTTTAATTAATATTTTTTTTCCATATTGCAAATTTTTCTTCCATTCTCCTTTCAGGTGTAGCAGATCTATTTTAACAGATTCAGTCACTCATGCTGTGACTGATTTTGTAACATTCTTTTCTACTTCTTCAAACATCCTTTGTAAAATCTCTGGTGTAGTCCCCTGTTCTGTTATTTGATCTGTTATTTGTTAATAATTCTCTCCCCCCTTCTGTGATTTTTTGCTGTTTTTCTGGTAGCAGCAGCCATTTCTCTTTTTTAATTTACAACTCAGAAAAGAGAATAATAAAAGAGAGACTCTTTCTTTGTTCTTAATTCTTTAGTCCCATTTGGAATTCTGTAGTTCTATGGTCACATGATCTTTCATACTTTTCCCTTATTTTCTTAACAAAATCACCTAATAACTCCTGTTAGGAAATTTAAAAGAGTTTTCATAGACATGTGTTATTTCAATAACTCAAAAGTACTTTAAAATAAACAATATACCCAATTTTGTCTTTCAAACTTTTGATTAGTTTTTTTCCCTCTTAGTTGCTTTTAAATCTTTATAATTATTTAGTTTTTACTTTAATCTTGCCCTGGATTGAACAATAACTCACCAGGTGGTTAACTGTCTTCTGCTAGCTTTTAAAGTACAGTGGTTGTAATCCAATATACCCTAAAAAAGAAACCTGTAGCCATAAATCTTCCCTATGACAACTGGTTTCATAAAACCTGTTTTCATTGTTTATATCATGCATATACCACCTCTGAAAATAATTTAGAATAAGCTGTATCAGGGGAAACTTACACTTTTGTTCAGATACCATAGTCTTAAATCAGAAGCTCCATCCTTGAAACCTCTGACAGTCCAATAAATCAAGTCTGTAATACTGGTAGTTAGTGGGGTATACATAATAGTTGTGGAATAAAACAATTATTTTGTCTTAATTAAAGGATATTGTTTATAACATTGCTCAAGAAATCCATTCATGGTTAACATGTTTACCCTGAATGACACTGAAACATAAAATATATCCAAATCTAGAGGCTGTCCAATTACTTGAACTTAAAAAAACAGACCATTGAGAGAGCATTAAAGAATATGGAATCATAGCTTTCATCATACAGCATAGTCCAGAGCACTTGAAGAATTGCCAGCAGTTTTATTTCCTGATAACCTGACTGAATAAGAGAAGCTTATTTGATGTGTGTTGTATGAATACAACAGCTGGGTGATGCACTTTAATCAGCTTCAACATGTTCTCATTACCCCGGACCATTAACATTAAGGTCCTTCCCATGTGCAAACTCAGTGCTAAGCCAAGTTCAGTTTCCTGCCCCTGTGTCCCTGCAGTTCAGTACCCATAGGGCTTCGGAATTTGACAGTGAACTTTTATTCCATAGGAAATGCTATGAAACGTTAATGAGGAATGAATGAGGGCAAGGTACTAACTGGCTGTCATTTCTAAGGCATCCTATTGGCTGGCTGGAGGGAAGCCTGATAGTGGGGAGGGAATTAGTGGGGGTCACTTGCCTTGGAACTCTGAAACTGTCCTGGGTGATTGAGGGGTAAAAATAGCAGCATCAGGAATGAAAATGCAGGATATTCTCCAAGATCCAGGAAATCCTAATATGGGTTTGGCTGAGAAATGTGTACTTGTATACTTTTAATGCTATTCCCTTTCAGGACAAGCAACATAATGCCAAGTGAAGAAAAGGCAATGAATAAAATAGCCAGCCCCCCCCCCCAAATTAAAGGCATAAAATAAGAAAAAGGAAATTCCTATATTACTTTTTCTTCTGGAAATTCATACATCACTCATTTTTTTTTTTTTTTTTTTTTTTTTTTTATTAAAGGTTTTATAAATTTTACAAAAAAAACAAGAACAATACAGAACAAAAAACAACACATACAAAAGAGAGAAAAAAAAATTAAACAATACATATAAAAAAAAACCCCCACCCCACACCCCTCCCAAAAACCCTCCCTTCCCCCCCCCCTGAGCTTCCCAGAGCAGAATATAGGCTTAAGAAATAATAAAAAAAAAATAAAAATTAAATTAAAAACTCTATATTTATATATATAAAAAAGATATCTATAATATATATAAAAATAAAACTTATGAAAAGGCTATATAATATTTTTGTATACCCAATCTAAATTGTATAAATTTTATCCATTTGTCCCAGATAGCAAAAAACTTCTCTTGCGTTTGTTGCTTTAAGAAAGCCGAAATCTTTGCCATTTCCGCCAGATAAGCTACTTTAAAAAACCATTCCTGCAATGTAGGCAAAGATTCCTTCTTCCAATATTGTCCAACTAACAGCCTCGCGGCTGTGATCAAGTTTAACATCAATACAACCTCCTTTGTATCACAATCTGTAACAATACCTAACAAAAATAATTGCGGAGTGAATTTTACCCTCCTTCTAAAAATTCTCTGGATATTCCACCATATTTTGATCCAAAATGCTTTTATCTCTCTGCATGACCACCAAATATGATAATAGGAAGCCTCCTTGTAACCACATCTCCAGCATTTAGGTTGCACGTCAGGGTACATGTAAGACATTTTTTGTGGATCAAGGTGCCATCTATAAAACATTTTATAAAAATTCTCCCTTAAATTCTGTGCTTGAGTAAATTTGACATTTCTGAAATTCATACATCACTCATTTTTAAGCATCACTTTCTCGGTCTTCCCTCTTCCCAAAATCCATTACCTTTCTTTCTTTCTTTCTTTCTTTCTTTCTTTCTTTCTTTCTTTCTTTCTTTCTTTCCTTTCTTTCTTTCTTTTTCTTTCTTTCTTTCTTTCCCTTCCTTCCTTCCTTCCTTCCATATTTTTGTTGTGCAGTTTTGCCTTTTGATTTTTCCTTGCACTCTTAACATGTACACAATTCTACTCTTTGACATATTATTAACCCCAAAATCTCTAAAACACTCAGCATTTCTTCACTCGTTTAATCCCAAATGTTATTACTTTTTCTTTTAATTATATATTCTCTGTCCCTGTATAGCCTTCTTTACACACTTCCAAAATACTATCGTTTCCATCAAAGCCACTTTGCACCTTTTTCGGCTCTTTAAATCTTCTCAGTCCTTTGTTCCTTTTGACCACCTTCTTTGCAACTCTCTAGAAGAGGCTGGCTGTGCCTGTCCTGCTTTCCTGCACCACTTTCCTACCTCACTGGTCAGCTGCTGCTTGGCTTTATTCTTGAGCAATGGAATGGTTCAGAAACCTGGAGCATGGTCAAGGTGGGGGGCCCTGTTTAAAAGGCTAGACTTCTTGCTGTCCAAAGCAGACTGGCCCTGGGGACTAGAGTGACTATTCAGGAAATGCAACAGCTGGGTGATGCACTTAGCAATGCCAGAAGCCACTTTCTTTCCTGTCCTGAATGTGGCAATTGCGCCATCTGTTGGAAACTCTTTCCTTTAGCAAAGAATTAATTATGGAAAATATCACCTCAACCTTCTTCCAATGTAAGAAATCATTATTTAAAAATAAAAACAAAAAAACTTACATCTGAAATTTCCTCATTTAGGAATTATTTGCCCTCCCCCTCATGCTTTCAACTTTCTTTCTCAAAATGAATGCCAGTAGAGCAGTGTAGTTATGCTAGCCCAGATTCAAATCCCCAGTGACACAGGTAGTCCTCGACTTACAACAGTTTTAGTGACCGTTCAAAGTTACAGTGGTACTGAAAAAAGTGACTTATGATTATTTTTCATAATTATGACCACTGCACCATCCCCATGGTCATGTGATTTACATTTGGATGTGGACAACTAGTTCGTATTTATGATGGTTGCAGTGTCCCAGGGTCATGTGATCAGGTTTTGCGACCTTCTGGCAAGCAAAATCAATGGGGAATCCAGATTCACTTAACAACCATGTTACTAACTTAATAACTGCAATGATTCGCTTAACAAATGTGGCCAGAAAGATTGTAAAATGGGGCAAAAACTCAACAAATGTCTCACTTAGCAACATAATTTTTGGGCTCAATTGTGGTTGTAAGTCAAGGACTACCTGTATTACTCTTCTTTTCAGGTAACTCCAAGAACATGTTAGTGGGATTTAATGGAGGAAGCACTTGTGGGCAAGACTCGATCTAATCTACCTCATGACATTGTCTTGAAGGTATGAGGGGAGAAGCATTGGAGGAGAGCGATCCTGGTAATTACAACAAACCTCTAAAATTTTACAATATTGTGAAGGTACTTATTTGAGAGTTACCTAGTCATCTTTATTGTCTGAAGAAGTATTAATTTAGAACAAGTTTGAATATGTAATTTTATTTTTGTCCAGAATTTCAATTGCTCGCGTTTGCTATCATTAAAAAACATTTTTTTTCCAGAACTGCAAGAGAAGTGACTCACCTTGAAAGGCAAATATACAAGATCTAAAGGGATGGGCAATAGTAGCTTATTATACTTTTCTATACCATATCACTCATCTACACCCTCGCTAAGATACTCAGAAGAAGAAAAAGATACCCCCCTTAAAAGAAAACAAGTATGAAATGATTTTCTCATGCTTTTTCTTCCCGCCTGTATGGTATTGTTCCAAATGAGTATTTAATTTTTCTGTTACTACGGGCTATTACTTACATATGTGTACAAAACTGGATACACAGTTAAACAACATTTGATAATCTTCCAGAACAGTTTATTCTTCCATTAAAATAAGGCACTCACGAGCCAAAAACTTAAAGTAACATTTAAAAAGAATTAAGTCTCCTGCTGACAACTAGCTTAGTCTGGATTAGAGAGTAGCTTAGCCTGCTGCCTTAGGAAACGTTCTAGGCATTTTCTCACAGCGGCCACTGTGTTCCATTAGGAATGTCTGCAGTTGGCCACAGCACTTTCAAACTAGGGACCTCTGCATTTTGGAGCTCTCCTCATTGTAACCTCTGCCAGGGCTCCTTGGTCCTGGCAAGCTCACTTTCTTAGCCTTTCAGCATATTACAGAAGCTGCAGCTTTTCCTTTGGCCAAGGAAAGACCTTTTGGAGGAGGTTTCCTCCTGGCTACTGTCTCTGAACTCATAGCTTCATGAGACGAACAATGTGATCTCTGCGCCTCCGTTCCCCTGCCCAGGTCTTGCTTTTAACATGGAACTTGACCATCTCTGCCTTGAAATCCTGGTGATCCATGGGACAGTAACTCTGTGGCTGACACAGCTCCTGTCAGAAAAGGAGATCAGTGATGATATATATTTCCATAACTTAAAGCCCACAATTTAGTTAATCACAACAATTAGTCACAAAAATAACAACATACTTCTGAAAAAAAGAGAGAGAATCAGTATATTATGGTTCTTTGATTTATAGGGGAAAACAAGTAAAATCTCATAATTTTTTCCCCATTAAATGTTTAGAAAACAGAAAAGATATGAATGGCATAAGGGGAAAAGCCCCTATCCTAGGCACATTGCTTCTCTTTTTATTGATTCATCTATGGAATTTATAAGCTGTTCCACTTTATTGTGACTCTGGATGCCTTACTGAGTGCAAAAATAAAACCCCAGTGTCATTCCTCAATGCCATTTCTTCCCAAATCTGGATCTAGGTGTTCCAAACCAAACACAAGTAATGTGTGAAAATATTTTCCCCTTGATTTCTCAAAGCACCTCCCTATAGGTACATAGTTCCACCCACATTTGTTTTCTTTTTCTATATCCTGTATCAACTACCCTGTGTGGATAAATCTGAAAGCATGTGATTTGCCAGGATATACCCTGTAAGCTTCATGGCTTTGGGAATCTGAACCTGGATCTCCAGTTTCCAGTCCAGCACTTTTACCTGTCTTAGTGCATATGAAAAGGATATTCAGTTGTTTTATAACTGCATTCTTTTTTCTGATGCATTATAAAATGCAGTGTTTTTTTTTGTTCTTAAAGATTCTTTAAGCATAGGATTGTTACATACTTTTCCAAACAATATCCTAAGTTTAAACATCATTCAAATAGGGGTAGCATCTAGTAAAGAAAATCTTTGCCCAACGATCTGCCTACAGCACCACTCTGGGAGATGCAGAGTTCTGGATTAGACCAAGGGTTGTATTGTCCATGGGGCTGCCTCTGAAGACAACTCGTAGATGTCAGTTTATACAAAATACTGTGTCTTTTGTCAAACAGAATATTTTTCTCATTTTAAAAGAACTTGACTCATTTCAAAGTGCTAATTTCAATCTTTATAGTACTCTGTAGCTTGAATCAAAAATAGGTAGGGCTACATAGAAATCTAAATGGTAAAATCAGTGATAGAAACCTTTCTATGATGTATCTTTTCCAGAAGTGAAGTGAATATAGATTAAGACCTTACCTGAAATGGAATATCCAGAAATTTGCCTGGTGCTAATTAGTTAAAAGTTTTAGATTAAATTGGCCGAATCTTTATACAAATAATATCTACTTCTTAACTGCTTCTTACTAGCCAGATTTTCATTTTTGTTACCATAGTGTTGAAAGGTGAATGTTTCTTGGTTTAAAATCAAGCTAGGTAAAAAGATATGGAATGCTGAAAGAAGATAAGATTCTTTGCTATTTTATCATCAGTATTTGACAGATAAAATGCATTTCTACATAATGTAACAGTTTTTGTCTCATTGTTACCTTGTTTTCTAGAAAGAACTCCTTGTAGCCACCTTGGAGAACATAAAGTTCAGGATAGTGCAGGGCAGGATATTCATTCATGGCCCGGTCTTCCTCTCTCAGGTAACGACACCTTCACAGCAAGGCAACTGGTTATCCTGCCTATCCAGGGACACCCAAAACCATCTGTTTCCCTTTTCCAAAAAGCCCCCTCCCCCTCCACAGCCCTCTGTGGTCCACACTCACATCTTGGGACCCCTTTCAGAAGAAAATTCACAATGGAATACAAGGATGAGGCGCTTCTGTGGTGATGAGGGAAGCAGAGGCTTCCTCAGGAAACGTTCAAATAAGTCATCTTGCCTGTGGCTATTCAAGGCCCCCTGTAAAAAGAAACAAAGTATTGGGCTCTGCTATAAGTAGGCCACAGATCATGGCTGGGGGGGGGTCCTACTTTTCCAGAGCACCTGAAGGCAGGACAAGAAGCAACGGGTGGAAACTAACCAAAGAGAGAAGCAACCTAGAACTAAGGAGAAACTTCCTGACAGTTAGAACAATTAACCAATGGAACAACCTGCCTGCCTCCAGAAGCAGTGAATGCTCCAACACTGGAAGTTTTTAAGAAGAAACTGGACAGCCATTTGTCTGAAATGGTATAGGGTTTCCTGCCTGAGCAGGGGGTTGGACTAGATGACCTCCAAGGTCCCTTCCAACTTTATCATCATCATTATTATTATTACTTCAACATAACAGAAGACCACCTGACCAGGAGTGCTGCTATTAAGACAACAGTCCTCAAGCATGTTACGTATGAGTTCCTTTGCACAACACGATTCATCCAGAATAAGAATCCCTCACCTTGATGTGGCCCCCATGATATTCATAGGGATAGCGGCAGTCAACAATATAGAACTTCTCTATAAGGCTTTGAAATTGATTGTGGAGCAGCGCTACCATCTGTAAAGAGAGCAGAACGGCACCCACACTGATGTAATCTTCATCTCTTAGTTTTACTTAACTCGCAGAGTTATTATGAAGTCAAAGAATAAACACTATCCCAAGCAGTTTGGCTGGAGAGTTCAATAAACATGGAATAAATAAACCTTTCTTCCCTCCCTACTGGTAAAAGACTACCTATAGCCCTTTACTTATTGCCTATTACCCATTAAAAAGTAGACTATGGTGTAGCTCAGAGGTCGGCAACCTTAAACACTCAAAGAGCCACTTGGACCCGTTTCTCACAGAAAAGAAAACATTGGGAGCCACAAAATCCTTTTGACATCTAAAATGAAGATAACACTGCATATATCCTTTTTTACCCTTATGCTATGTATAAAAAAAAAACTATAGTGTGTTGCATTTATGAAATCAATGAACTGCTACAAAGAAAACAATTTTTTATGTCGAAGAGGGGGAAAAAACCCTTTCTCCTTCATCCCAACAGGTGAAAACAATTTTAGTAGCTTATCTGCCATCTTTAAATACAGCATAATTATCCCCATACCTCATCTCTTAATTTAAAAAAAAAATCAAAATATTTCATTAAACGTTCTTTTCTAAAAGTCCAGTAAGGGCAACATATATTCATATTTTCTTTCTCTCTCTCCCCCCTTCTCCTTCCCCCCTCTTTCTCTCTCTCTCTCTCTCTTTCCTCTCTCTCTCTCTCTGTCTCTTTTTCTTTCCCTCTCTTTCTCTCTCTTTCCTTTCCTTCTCTCTCTTTCTCTCTCTCCCCCCCCCTCTCCCTCTTTCCAATCTTCTGCTCACCTGGCCAGCTGGCCTCACGCTGTTCTCTGACAAGTTGACACACATTCTTATTGAGCTGGCTCTCTCCTGCCCTTGGTCTGCCAGTCCTCTTCCCCCACTAAGTAAGTAAATGTGTGTGTGTGTGTGTGTGTGTGTGTGTGTGTGTGTGTGAGAGAGAGAGAGAGAGAGAGAGAGAGAGAGAGAGAAAGAAAAAGAGAGACAGAGAGAGCTGCCGCTTTCTGCTTCTTCCTGCGGAGACGCAGCAAGGGCAGGGAGCCTGCTCAATAAGCTTGTCAGCTTGTCGGAGAACAGCGTGAGGCCAGCTGGCCAGATGAACAGAAGAGTGTGGAGAGAGAGAGAGAGAGAGAGAGAGAGAGAGAGAGAGAGAGAGAGAGAGAGAGAGAGAGAGAGAGAGAGAGAAGTGCTGCTTTCTGCTTCTTCCTGTGGAGACGCAGCAAGGGCAGGGAGCCTGCTCAGTAAGGTCAGTTTGTCAGAGAACAGCATGAGGCCAGCTGGCCAGGTGAGCAGAAGATTGGAGAGCGCAGTAGAAGACTGAAAGAGCCACATGCAGCTCCAGAGTCGCGGATTGCCGACCCGTAGTGTAGCTGAAGTCACTTAGACACTGTACCGAAGAATGTTAAGAATAGAGAAGCTTGCTTGCTTAGGTATTGCAGCAAGACCCGCTCAGCTATCTTCTGAAACTTTTACAGAACCAAGTGACCCTAGATAAAAAGGAGGTACAGCTAGAATTCAGCTGGTCTGAGAAAGTATTTGCAAAGTCAAAAGGAAAGAGAAAGTCAGATATATAAACACTTTAAAGCAGGCATGATTGCTCACAGTATCCGCAGTGATATATCTCAGATCCGAATGCCTTCCTGTGACTGTTGGCAATGCATACACCTAGAGAAACACATTCATGTTTAAAATTTCTACAATTCAAAAGTTTCTCTAACTTTTTCAAGTCTCAGCTAGATAAATCCTAACACCAGCAAAATAATCCTGAATGCAACTGCTGGGAAATAAGATACACTGGATTCAGGAGAAAATGCCCCAAAGTAAATTTGGAAATATTTCACCTACATGTATATTAAGAAGCAAAATAATAAATATAGAGTATGACTCCCTGTTCAAAACTTCCTACATGCTTTGAAGACAATATAATTGTTTGGGCCATATACTAAGTTGTTTTTTCTGAGCTATTTCAAGTACTGTTGAAAATTATTGCCTGAAATGTTTTTGTCTGAAAATCCATTTACTCTCAGGAAGGGGTGGGAGGGAATATGTATATGTGTGAGGCAATGAATATTTAAATTTATTAAGTATATTTTATTTTGTTCCTACATATGTAACATCAATGAACATTTGGTATCCTCCTTGTGAGAGTTTGCTGAATGATGAGTTTTTCCTGGTTTGCCTAATTTTTCAAAGCCAAATAAAGATTGTTTACTGTGACTAGTATCATGGTAGAGATTATTCCAAGTTGCTCCAGGCTGCACTGCAACACCACCACCACAATATATTATAGTGTACATATTATTCAAGTAATCAGGATCACAGAATAGTAATAGCAGGATGTGACAAGGATAAAAAAGCAGCATGGAGTGCATTTATCACACCAGGCTTGAAGAAACAAAATTATGAAAATGTATATAGCCCATAACTTTTTGCTCATAACTCAGTTTCTGGTTATTATTGTATCAATTCATGCAACATTTATACCTGGATAGCTATTTATGTATTGGTATCAGAGATATTGCTTTGCTCAAATTTAATATAAGCAACACTCTATTTTATTAGGCAGGCAAGCTCATCTAGGCAGATTTAAAATTTGTTTGCAATCACTTTTCACTAGTTTGCTCTTGTAATTGTTGTTTTAAATTGAATTCAGGATAATGTAGTAACAGATTTACTACATTATAACAGATATAGAAAATGGAATTTGTGATTTTATTTATCACAAATTCCATTTTCTATATATGTCCTAATGCTTCTTTGCAGAAATGAGCTCTAGATATTTTAAAAATTAATTAATTTAAGATTCATTGGATCTGGGAAAAATTAATATGCCTTTTTAGTTAGGTACTAAAAAAATTCAAAATATAAATCTATTAACGGCATTCTGGCAGTTATCTTAAGCTGGGCATCAGACTGACTAGTACAGAGTATTGTTAATCTTAAGAATTGCTTGAAATGGAAAGAGACTCACATTAACCTCTTCCCTAAGAAATGTAACCACAGATGGTAGAATCTACAATAAAATATGCTCAAAAGTTACAAGAATATTTCAGGTTAATTTAGTGTCAATTTCAGAGCCATCTGTGAGAATGGCCAACCACAGATGAGTCTCACATCACACTGTCAAGGAAGAGACTTTTCATTTGATTTTGGTGCATTAAAATCATGCTTATCGGAATTTCTAAAAATGAAGTAGGTAGCATTATGCTAGTGTGAGCTATACAATTCTTAACTGGAGGTCTTAATCACCCAGCTATAGGACATGACAAACAATTCTTCTAATCTCTTACGTATCAGATCACGGTAGGTCTTATCTGCCAACACATACTCAAATTTCCCATACTGATGAATTTTTCATCAATGCCTAGACTGTGAAAGTCCAGTACAAAACTACTGCTTCAGCACTGTTCAATGATTAGGAGGGGAGGTTTGGGATAATATGGCATGGGCAAAGTCGGCATTCTTCTTCCTACCCACCCGAAAAAAAGAATTAGAGAAGCAAGAAGGCACCTACGCCAGAGAAATCACCAATTAACTGCCTGAAGCCATGGTCTTGATCAAGGGCTCTGACAATCTCGATGTCAGAAAGGGAGGCTGTTTTCTTCAAAAGCATAACCTATAAACAAGCAGGCAACCCATCAATACGTTTGCAGAGAAATAACTGCGAGTATCAGTCTTCTGTGTATAAAAAAGCTTGAAATAACAAAATATTAATTGAAACCATGCTTAAATATTTCTACAAAAAATACGAAGATCCGCGTCAAAGCGGGAGAATTGAAATATTTAATACTAGAGGAAAACTTAGATGCAAGCATAATGGGACCCTTGACATGCCATTCATTGACTGACTCAACTGTCAGTCTGACCAAAACCACTGAATTTAAATCATGAGAAAACTATAAATAGACTTGGGATCAAGATGGCCCCATAAATATAGGAGGATCCCAGTTTAGTTAATGAGCAAATTAGAAATTATACGAGTGCAAGGAAAGGTCAATTAAAAAAAAAAAGAATTCTTAACCAAATGAAAACAAAACAAACAGTGGAAATACAAATGGCCAATAAAGGTTACAAAACCGATCATGAAGAACTTACGATAAAAAGATTTAAAACAGTAATTTTAAAGCAGCGATTAGGAATAAATGCACTATTATCCTAATGGCAAGAGGTACAAGGCAGAATTCTTTAAGAAGCAGTATTGGGACTGTTCCCTTTTAAATGGAAATTTATCCGGGGTGCTACATTAAAAATAAAGCTCAAAGAGGCTCTCTAAATTGAATGAATGAGTTTTAACTGACAAATGCAGTTCAACAAAAGCTAGTGCAAAATCTTGGAGCAAAACACCTGAACTTCTGAGATAGTGATGAAAGAAAGTTTATGATCCTTTAGAACAGGGGTGTCAAACTGCCAGCCCATGGGCCAGTTTCATCATACCGAAGCCCTGCCCACCCCATTGCCGGCAATGCAAAAAGAATTGTGATACGTCGTGACACATCATGTGACGTGACGAGTTTGACACCGGTGCTTTAGAACTATCTGTAATCCTTCTGTGCTGTGAACTAACTACAAAGCAGTCTGAACATCATCTGAATCCAATTAGCTCAAATACATGCAGGGATAGCAGGACTATGGATTATAGTTGAAGCCAATGTATCACTTCTTAAATGCTGATTGTTTGGATATAGCAATAGAAGAGAGTTAGCTCCCTCAAATGTGTAAACTGGGTGTAATCCGCTGACCAGTGGATGAAACAGAATAAACAGATTTCTGGCCAGCAAGGCTCCTCTAAACATCTTAGCTGTTTTGTCTCCGTCTCTTTGAACAAGAGAAAAACACCTATTCTTGTTGACATAGTTCAGGGGTAGGCAACCTTGGCTCTTTTATCACTCGTGGACTTCATGGCTGGCTCAGGAATTCTGGGAATTGAAGTCCACGAGTCATAAAAGAGCCAAGGTTACCTACTCCTGACATAGTTGATCAAACTACCATTCTAGCCTTGATACCAAGACCCAGGAATTTAGGGAAAAGGGATGTGAGGACCATATCCAGCTATTTCTTACCCCATCTGGCCCTTCTTGGATTGGGCTGCTCTTCCATTTCACCTTAGTTGGAGTTTCATCATCATAGCTTTTCACTGTCCTCTTTGATGCAGGCCTGTTTAGTTTTTCTGGGAGAGATGGAGATCGGAAGAGGCGGCTCTTGTTCACGGAGACCTGCTTAGTGTGCCAAACAAACAGGGAGATCAGGATAGCAGGAGAGAAATACAATTCACTGGTAAGGCTTCAAGGCATCAGTCTCACTAAGAGGGATTGACTGAGGGGAGGGATAGATTTTTCTATCAACTGTACTTCCATATAAGTATTGCTAGCTCTCTCAGATGAGCCTGACAGCCTTGCAAATCAGTCCACAAACTGTTTTAATGGCCCAGCCATAAACATGTTAAAATTTGAGCCTTTATATGCTGCTGTTTCCAGTCTGGATCATTTGGAAGACAAGATGTTATTGCTACTGGCTACAAGGCAATCTGAGTTAACTAAATTGCTGATTAAAAAGTCTCTATTTACCTCACTAATATTAATGTCTTGAGCAAGGAGTGGTCCGGACAACAAGTCAGCTATGTTACAGTGGTGCCCAGAAAAGGATTTCTGTGGAAGAATCACAGGAGAAAACAAACATTTTTTTAAAAAAAGAATTGCCAGATAAAAAGAGAACATTAGGCACTTACAGCTTTCATAGTTGTACAAAAGAAGGATTTCAATGGGGGAAGCTCACTTTACAAAATATTCTCAGTCCTCTTATTCATCTGGCTTGGCTGAACCTGGCAGCTATTTCATTGTACTGAATCAGAAGAGTGGCAAATGCAGAACGACTTCTATTAACAAAAAATACAACCCTTCCTTTAATTCTGCCAAGATTTGGATGGCAATTCCATACTCTACAGCAGGGCTTTTCAACCGGTGGTACGCGTACCACATGTGGTACTTTGCCACATGGCAGGTGGTACGCGACTGTCCTAGAGAAGTGTAGCTGGGGAGGGGAGGACTGTCTGGGCTCGGCAGAAGCCCCAGGAGCCGGCAGGGCTCCAGCTGATTGGCTGTGTTGGTGAAACAAAAACATAAATTTTGGGATGAAAGAATGAGTATATTTTAGTACAGGTAATCCTTGAATTATAACAGTTCATTTAGTGACCGTTTGAAATTACAGTGGCAGTTACAGTGATTTGTAACTTTTTTTTACACTTACAACCACTGCCGCATCCCCATGGGTACATGGTCAAAATTCAGACACTTAGCAACTGATTCATATTTATGACGGTTGCATAAGTCATGTGATCACTTTTTGCGACCTTCTGACAAGCAAAGTCAATGGGGAAGCCAGATTCACTTAACAACCTTGTTACTAACTTAAGAACAGCAGCAATTGGGAAGAATTTCGGCAGTTAAAATGAATATACTTCCAAAGTTTCTTTTTTTATTTCAAAAGATACCTATTTTGAAAAAAGATGCTATTCTGGAGGAATGGCAGAAGGGGATTAATAAGTTTATTTGGGCAGGGAAAAAGCCGAGAGTTAAATTCAAAATTATGCAGGATATACGGGAAAGAGGTGGATTGAAGGCACCTAATTTAAAATTGTACTATGATGTGGTGGCTTTAACATTGATTAGTGATTGGCTCAACTTAACAAATAAAAATATTCTTTCTCTTGAGGGATGGGATTTATTATATGGATGGCACGCATATTTAATTTATGATAAAAAGGTTGATCAGGTTTTTAAAACTCATATTTTGAGAAGTGCCTTGTTGCGTGTCTGGAAGAAATATTATTATAGGTTAAATTATAAAATCCCAATTTGGGGGATTCCAGGACACATGATCGAGGGAGTATCTAGGGGAGTAAATTTGGATAAGATTTCTTATAAGGAATTACTTAGTTTGGTTGGGCAGCATTGGCAATTAAAGCCTTTAACTGAGTTGAAGCAAGAAAATATTGTATATTCTTGGTTTTATAATAACCAGTAGTTATTGAGGTGGAGTATAGATCAAAAGGTTGGAATTACTTTAGAGGATGTGAATTTGGTAAAACAGATTAAAGATCAAAATCGAGCTCATATAAAAAGAATTTATAATTTTAATAGAATTGGATTCTGAAACAGAGTTGGTTAAAGATTGTATGATCAAATGGGCGCAAAATATTCAAGAGCCGATTTTATTGGATACATGGGAGACAATTTGGGTTAGAAATGTAAAATTTACTCAAGCGCAAAATTTGAGAGAAAATTTTTATAAAATGTTTTATAGATGGCATTTGGATCCCCAAAAGTTGTCCCACATGTATCCGAATTTACAGCCTAAATGTTGGAGATGTGGAAACCTAGATGCAACCTATTTTCACATTTGGTGGACTTGTAAAGATATTAAAGCTTTTTGGATTAAGATTTGGTGGAATATTCAAAAGATTTTTAAGAAAAAGATTAAGTTTACTCCACAATTATTTTTGTTGGGTATTACTGTAGATTTTGATGTTAAAGAAACTAATTTGATGTTGAACCTTATAACAGCTGCAAGATTATTGGTGGGGCAATATTGGAAGAAAAATTTGTTGCCTACTTTGGAAGAATGGATACTTAAAGTGTCTAATTTAGCAGATATGGCGAAAATCTCCGCCTATTTGAAGGACCGTTCACAGGAAAGATATATTATGGTTTGGAGAAGATGGATTGATTATATTCAGAAGAAATATGAAGTTGAAAAGTATTATCTTGCTTTTGAGTAGATTTTAGATAATTATTAATCATTTTAATTATATTATTATTTTTGACTTAATTTGTTAATATTTGTATTGAGAAGGAGTTAAAGTGTCTTATGGTTTTGATTGATAGTATAGTTGGTTTATGTTAGTTGGATTATATTTGTTTATTATTTTGTTTTACCCTGTAATCAGCTCTGGGAAGTGGGGGAGGGGGGGAAGAGGGGGTTATATTGTAATAAATTTATAAAACTTTTAATTAAAAAAAAAGAACTGCAGTGATTCACTTAACAACAGCAGCAAGAAAGGTCATAAAATAGGGCAAAATTCACTTAACAACTGTCTCACCTGGCAACAGAAATTTTGAGCTCAATTGTGGTCGTTAAGCCGAGGACTATCTGTTCTTACAACAGTTCATTTAGAAGTCTACAGATACAGAAAGGAGGTATTTCTGAGTGACCGATGACAAATGAGTATAAGAAATTCTGTTGGGCTTTGGAGCAAACTGTAATTAGGGGTGTTTGTTTTTATCTGGCAGAAGAGAAACAGACATTGTACACAGAATCTCTGCTAACAAATGTTCAATATGTTGAGATATGTTGCATGTCATGACTGAAATTACTGGATTAGGAAATCTAAAACAACTCATTGTTGAAATCCCAGAAGGAATGAACTTTTCCTTATTCTAGTATGCTGCCATAGGGATGTGAATAAATTACATTTTAATGTAAATTCTTAGAAATTTAGCTAGTGGCAAAAACCAAACTGAATTATATCTAGGTTTTAAGAGATCAGTCCCAAGTCAAGACTGAATCTTCTCCTCAGGATAAAACTAATATATAAACTTCTCACCACCACCACAATTATCGTCAAAAACGCAGTGACCAGACTTGAACACTAGATGTTTATACAGGTAGTCCTCAACTTACAACCACAATTGAGCCCAAAATTTCTGTTGCTAAGTGAGATATTTGTTAAGTGAGTTTTGTCCCATTTTATGATGTTTCTTGCCACAGTCGTTAAGTAAATCACTGCAGTTAAGTTAATAGCAAGTTAAGTGAATCTGGCTTCCTCATTGACTGTGCTTGTCAGAAGGTCGCAAAAGGTGATCGCATGACTTTGGGACACTGCAACCGTCATAAATATGAGTCAGTTGCCAAGCGGCTGAATTTTGATCATGTGTCCATGCGGATGCTGCAACGGCGGTAAGTGTGAAAAATGATAAAGTCATTTTTTTCCAGTGCCGTTGTAACTTCAAAGGGTCACTAAAGGAACTGTTGTAAGTTGAGGACTATCTGTAATGTCTTGGAATACTATATTTCAACCTGTCCTTTGAACAAAATACCTAGCCATTTTTTTCTAATGTTTGAAAATGTTTCAGTGTAACAGAATACAAGCTCCTACTTCCAATTTTTCCAAAGATCGCCCAGATGGCTCTTATCAAAGGCTTTTAGCTCTCCTTCCAGTCTTGCAGCAGAGCAGACCCAACATCACTATTACTTGGCATTGCTGCTATTTATGGTTGGCAAGCTACACTTGTTTTCTCTGGTTTTATTTAATGAATACAACTGCCCACAAAGTGACTTTTAACTCGTCCTTCTCACCTCTGTTTCTTCCTTTTCACTGGAACAGAGCTCAGAAAAGCTGTCCAAGGCTTCTGGGATTCCTGAAGCATCCATTGGACTGCCAAGATATTTCATCTCACAGTCCATTAAATCCTCTGCTTTCTGGAAAATAAAACCAATTACAGATGAAATGCACTGCTTTTCAAACACGCCAATGTTTACTGTATAGGTAGTCCCTGACTTATGACCATTCATTTAACGAGCATATGAAGTTATGACAGCACTGGAAAAAAATGTCTTACAGGTGGTCTTTGCATTTACGACCTGCAGTTGCGTGATCGTGATCTGGGTGCTTGGAATTGGCTCATATTTACAATGGTTGCACCTCCCAAGGTGTTGTGATTCCGTGCCAGCCTGTGATCCTAACAGCTGAGTCTGAGGTGGAAGAGGCATTTGAAGGGCCATCAGGGGCAGAGGGAGGCTCTGATGAATTACAGGACTCACGGTTTGATGCAGAGCCTGGGCCCTCCAGTTGTGTTCCTGATGAAGCTCAGCTATGTGAGGAGAATGAATTAACTCGGAGGACTCACTCCTGATGGACATGCTAACTGATGCACACACACATCGTCAATTAGCGAGAGTAAATCAGCAGCAGTCAATACGCAACTCCAGGGTAAAAGGAGAAGGCACTGAGAGGCAACGCCTTGGGACTGCTGTATAAAAAGAGGTGTGGGCGGTGCTGGTTGCTGAAGGCAACTGTTTGCAAAGTACTTCTTTGGATCCTGGTCTGTTCATCTTGCTTGTGACTACTCTTCTGTTTGCATCGTGTTTCCTGTGGACTATTTCCTTCATTTGGATTGAGTTTTGCTGTTTGTGTTTTGGACTATTTGGCAGGTTTGTCACCCATATTAAAAGAGGTTTGTTTTGTTTTAAAGTCTCCAACCTATTTTATCAACAGGGGTTTGGTCCTTGTGCCTTTAACAAGGACGGCTATAGGCTGGGATAGAACACAAGGTCACGATTGCCATTTATGACCTTCTCAGCCAGCTTCCAACAAGCAATCTGATGAATGATTGTGTGATTTGCTTAACAACCATGGCAAAAAGATCATAACATTGGGTGTGGCCCCATGATGACTCATTTAGCAACTGTATCACTTCGTGATGGAAGTTCTGGTCCTGATTGTGGTCATTAAGTCACAAAGTACCTGTATGTGTTTTGATTTCCACTCAATGAGATCCAAAATACTACAGTCATATTGTATTCAAATCTTCCTAACCAAAGTATTGCAACTGGTCTTTTCCCCTGTGGTTTCCACATTGCTTTTCTCCTGATCTTCTGAATCTTTTTTTAAAATATAGTACCAAAACCAAATGTAATAATAAAGTGGGGGTTGGCAAACATAGGATAAAATAAAGCTATCTCATTGTTTAAAAAACACTTTTCTTTTAATGCAATCTAAAGTTGCCTTTTTTTCCTGCTGCGTTACCTCACTGATCCTCACCTTCTTCCAGACAAGTATAAACAACTTCAGTAATTTAACACCTTCTGCAGTATTTCAATAAATTTCTTTTCATATCTCAGCCCTTATTAATACTCAAATTGTAAAAACTCATCATTTAGTCCTAATCAGCAAAAATCTATTAAGAGCTACCAGAATATACAGGTAGTCCTCACTGACTGTTCAAAGTTATGAAGGAACCCCCCAAAAGGTGCTTACAACCTGATTTCAAAGTTACAGTGGCCGCACTCCCCCATCATGGCTTTATGGCCATTTGCAATTTTCTGTGGTTGCAACTACAATATGTGCTTACAATGGATATTGAGTTAAAATGCCTCATCCCCTCATGACCCTTAGAAATATCTACAATTTGCCTCTAGTCTAGAAAGTAGACTAGTTTCCCATATCAGAAAAACTAGAGCGGACATCACTGCCATGAAGCAGAAAGATCTACCTAGATCTTGGCAGAAGATTGTGGGTTCTTATAGAAAAGCCTATCGGCTACGATAGATACTCACATTTCTCTTGTTCATCGAAGGCCATTGAATTTCCCTGCTAATTTGCTGGAAGTAACTTGGTGTGCTGCACAATACTTCAGGCTAAAATATCAAGGGGAATGGCATTGTCAAGTTCTGGTTTGGTATTTATCTATATTGATTTATATATTGACATGAGACTTAGAGCATCAACAAATTGGTGCCCCTGGTTCTCAGATTCACTTCAAAGTCTCTCATAAGGTAACTCCATCATAGTAGAAAGGATATACCTGGAGCAACTGCACACACTGCTTCCTTGAGTCTCTGCTGAGAGAAAAAGAAAGCTAGTCAGAGATCCTTGGTATGAACGGAGTAAACATTTAGCATACTAAATGCACCCCAATCTAATCCCATGGATACCTGGTTCACATCCTGGGATATGTTATGTTTTGTTTAACCATTCAATAGTTTATTGAATAAATCACAGTTGGCTTGGTTTGCATCATATGCTAAGTAAAAATAACTTTGTGTTATGCACCAGTTGCGGCCATTCTTGGATCAAGATTCCCTGTGCTCAGTTGTTCAGTCCCAAGTCATTCCACGGCTGGACTATTGTAAAAAGCTCTACATGGGGCTACCCTTGAAGAGCATTTGGAAGCTACAGTTGGTGCAGAGTGGGTAGTTTTGAGAACCCCAAGAATGGCCCCTGTAATACCACTGCTCTGCAAGCTGCATTGGTTACCAGACTGCTTCTGGGTGTAATTCAATTATTGGTGATCACCTTTAAAGGCCTTCATGGCATCCCAACAGGTTACTTAAAGGACCGTCTCACTCCACTGGGATTGGCCCATACCTCTTGTGCTGGCAGAGGAGGCATGCTGCGGGTCCTGTCATGCAAATTATTCTGGCTGGGGGCTCCAGGAGGAGGGCCTTCTCTGCTGTGGCTCCTGCCTCTGGAACATCTGCCCCCCCAATATGAGGTTGGTCCCAACCCTCCTATCTTTTTGTAAGGGTACAGAGATGTGGCTTTGCCAGTCGGCTTGGGGCCCCAGTGGGGGAACAGCACAATGGAGGTAGCTGATTGAACAATAACAGATTCCACCTCCCCCCCCACTCCCCACCTTCCCGTGTCTTTGGTTTTAATGTTTGATTTTAACTTTTTATGTTTTAACTTAGATGTAAATGTAAGCCACCTAGACTTATCCTATGGTAGGGTGGATGGCCAATAAGTTTTATAAATAAATAAATCCAAGATGAGCAAGCTTGGGCTGGGGAAATAACTTGCATCCGAGGCTAGCTGAGGGCTAAAAATGAAATCACAGTAAAGGATTTGTAACGTCAAAGGAAAGGATTGAACTGCATTTTTTAAATTTGTTTTTTTATTTGGAGGTGGAGGTCAAGTATAGCCATACCACCTGAGAAAGGAACCAATAGGCTCTTACCCAGGAGTCTGACTAAGCATGACACACAAACTTATTTAATATATCAGTGCTGAACAAAATTGGCCACTGCTGAGTTAATAGAAGTGCTACAAAGGAATTTAGGACTATTTTCAGATTGGAGAGCAGATCAATTACACCCAAATGAAAATAAAGATAATATGGTAAGCTATAAAATCAGTAGGTAGAACTTACAGTTGATCCTGGAATTCTGTTAAGTTATTTTTATCTACAAGTCACAAAATGAGAAAATAGAAGTCTGAAAACCTAGGAATAGTTCTATTATTAAATAGCTTAAGGAATTCAAATCAGAGTGAACTGATTAAGTCATCTTCTATCATATCTAAAAATTAGTTATCCTGGTTGAGCTAAAGAAGTCCAATCAATATGGAACACAGGCTTGCAAACTATATTCAGTTGTTTAAGATACGGCCAGAGTCCCCCAAACCATAAACAAAAGCCTATCACATAAGAAACCACATAGTTCTATTAAACCAAGCTCATCATATAAGAAATTATATAGATAATATACTACAAGTAGTAAAATCAAGAAGTGCTTTACAATTTTTGTAATCTTTTTTAAAAAGGAAATTTTAGAAACTATACTTCTTGGCAGTAAACTGTAATTGGAGTACTATACTTCAATAGATAAAAGAGGCAGCTGGGTGTACAGCTCTATCCTTTTTGTAAACCTGGAATATAGCAGTGACATTTACATGGATATCTGGCTTGCGTTTATTTCTAGGTTTGTTATGATCTATAAACATATCAATATATTGCCTTGGGAAACAAATATATTAAATAAAATAGTACAGATAATTGCATTTGAGGTTATGAAACATCAATCTAAGACCATTTCTCTTAGCTTTAGTTCTAATAATTACCTAAACTGGTTAGAATACTAGAGTTCATTTAAGAGATGATATGTCTGGTGACAACAAAACTTGCTTTTATATGTACAGGTTGTCCATGGGGTCGCGATGGGTCGGACACGACTTCGCATTTAACAACAACAACAACAGTCCTTGAACTACAACGACAATTGAGCCCAAAATTTATGTTGCTAAGCTACACGTTTGTTAAGTGAATTTTGCCCCATTTTATGATCTTTCTTATCACAGTTGTTAAGTGAATCACTGCAATTGTTACCAAAATGGTTGTTAAGTGGCTTCCCCATTGATTTTGCTTGTCAGAAGATTGCAAAAGGGGATCACATGACCCTGGAATACTGCAACGGTCATAAATATGAATCAGTTGCCAAGCTTCTAAATTTTTATCACATGACCATGGGGATACTGCAACGGTTGCAAGTGTGAAAAATGGCCATAAGTTACTTTTTTTAGTGCTGTTGTAATTTTGAACAGTCACTAAATGAACTGTTGTAAGTTGAGGAGTACCTATATGTTGTATATAAACTGCTAATTAATAGCAGAACTAAAACTCTTAGAGCAGGTAGCAATTATTACCAATTTCCAGTGCTCCTGGAGACTGACTGAAGGTGAAAGCAATTTTCTCTTCTCCGCTGCGGAGATTGGACAGATCTAAGCAGCATCTTGGTGTATCCCTGCAAATTGTGAGTAGGCAAGTAGATACACATATCCACACACATTAGCAATGCACTACTGAAATCCACACAAATTAGCATCACACCATTGAAATAAAAACATAAGTTATATTAGGATGAACACCTTTAGACAGTCTCATATATCAACTGACAGATTATATTTGAAAACTGTTCCCCACATTTTAATATAAGAGGCTAGAGTCACTTGTCTGAGATGGTATAAGTTCTCCTGCTTGAGTGGGGGGCTGGACTAGAAAACCTCCAAGGTCCCTTCCTAAGGTGCTACTTAAGATTGCTATTGATTGGATCATGGCCAACTTAGTCAAGTCTTATTGAAACCAATGTAAAAAAGTCAGAAAATGGCTGTCTGTCCGTACACAATAGACTAAAGCTTATGGCTCCCATATCAGATCTAAAACAGTCAGAGCCCCAAAATGGAATTTTTAAAAATCACCCTCTTCCCCTACAATTCAAAGCTGCAATTTATTACTCTTGCTATTAACTGCTGGTTAAACAGAGAATCTGTGAAAAGTCATTCTTTCTGACCATTTCAATCAGGGGTCTTCAAACTCGGCCCTTTTGACTCATGGACTTCAACTTCCAGAATTCCTCAGCCAGGCATGCTGGCTGAGGAATTCTGGGAGTTGAAATCCATGAGTCATAAAAGGGCCAAGTTTGAAGATCCCTGCTCTAAATGCTCTTGGGCTTGTTTAACAGGCAAGATTATATACCGAATGATTTATAGGTAGTTCATAAACCTCCTTATCCAACTACCAAACTCAGTGTACTCATTTTCAAAGTTGGCATGTTATCTGAACTATAAAGTAACTATAGTGACCCACTATGCAGTCTTTATACCTACTTATGTCTGGTGAAGACGTGGAGATCGCTTATTCATATTTTAGCTATGTTTAATTTTCCCTAAAACTAAATATATTGCTTAACCATGGATTTAAGAACTTTTATAAATGGACTGCCATAGTTCTTGGGCATACGGTATTTCCTAGTATGATTATTTAAAAAGATTTAAAATTTCAGATTAGCACTAGAAGACCCCCAAGGTCCCTTCCAGCCATTCCATTCCATTTCTGTGCCATGCCTTTGGAAAAAGAGAAAGTGTTCCACCCCAGCATCATTGTATCAAAGGGGGGGGGGGAATTACCCTGCTAAAGTGCTAAGGTTTTGGAAATCCCAAGTGAGAGTCAACACTGGAGTAAGAGGAAGTTCTGGAGTAAATGGCAGAGATATCTTGACATCCTGGATCATATTCAGTGCCATCCTATAGGTAGACTGAAACCTAAAATGAACAAACAATAATTTCTACAAGGGAATACTTTTCAGACAGTCTTACTTATCATCACTAAAACAGCAGCTTCTTTTTTTTAGTCCTCTTTATTATAATAATCACAATTTAAGAGCTTAAAATCAGGTACTTAAAACTGAAATATGCAGCAGCAACCTCTGAGAGACTAGATCAGAAAGACAACAAACGATCAGGCTAAAAAGGTAAATCCAGTTCAACTTTTTAATTTTTTTTTAATCTCGCCTATATTATTTTTTTTTTATAACTGATGGCCGCAAACATACCTAAAACCGCTTCTGCCTATTTTCCCCCACAGCATCAACTCTGCAAGATAAGTTGGGCTGAGCAAGAATGATTGATCAAAGGCACCCAGCTAACTTTCTTAAAGGGAAACGAGAGCTTTGAATTTTTTCAGAGTTGAGCAAAATCAACCCGGACGGAATTTAGATAATCAGCATCGCTGGCTGGCTCACAAGCTAGAATGCACCGCCTCCAAAACAAGCTAGTTTTGTTCCCTCGTTCGCAGAGCAAGAGAAAAAGATGAGCTGCGGACAACCTGGGAACCTCCCCGATGGTTTGGACTTGGATTTCCATCAGCTATAACCAGCATTGCCTTTGCGGCAAAGGACATCGGCAAAGCTGCTGCGCCCCCTCCCTTCTTGTGAAATCCCTTCCTCCCTTTCAGCTCCCCCCCAATCAATCAATCAATCAATAAGGCGAGCTGAAAATTCAACAGCACTTCAGAAATTAAAATTTATCGCCGCTGCGCCGGCCAATCCCGATTACCTCTTTATCTTTACCAACCAACCAACGAAGGCTCGAGCGAGAAGAGCCCCAGTCTCGGAGTCAACACCTTTTTAATTGGCAAACCGACGATCTGACGTCTGCGGTGGCGCGCGCGGCTGATTGGATGCGGGGCTTGATAGGCGGGGTTTTATGCACTTGGGTTATTGTGTCCGCGCTGCGTTCGGGAGATCACACCCATTTTCTTACTCTTCTCCTTAGCCAATCACTGGACCAAGGTTCCGCCTCCTTTTTCTTCTTACTATGCAATAGGCCGGAGGTCTGCAAAAAAGCCGCGCCCTCCCTGCTTACTGGAGGGAGATTTAAAGCCGCGTTGAATGCGGACCATGAGGTTTTTGGAGGGGCGCTTCGGTTTGAAGGCCAGCCATGGAATTTCCGAATTCTTTGGCGGACTTCTCGACTGCCGTAACTGGCCGGTAGTTGCCTTTAGATTTCGGGTGTTGGGTGGAGCTTTGTTTTAACTTGACGACCATTGCTGGTATCTGCTTTCTCCGATTTTCTTACCTCTTTGAGTTGGTAAGCGGGGTGGAGGCTGCTGAGACGGGATGCAATGACTGTCTTCCTAATCGGAGAACATTACAGTTAGTCCTCAATTTACGACCACAACGGAGCCCAAAATTTATGTTGCTAAATGAGAAACTTGTTAAATGGGTTTTGCCTCATTTTATGACTTTTCTTGCCATGTTTGTTAAGTGAATCACAGCAGTTCTTAAATTAGTAACATGGTGGTTAAGTGAATCTGGTTTCCCCATTGCCTTTGCTTGTCAGACAGTTGAAAAAGGGGATCCTATGACCTGGGACCCTGCAACCGTCATAAATGTGAGTCAGTTATCAAGCATCTGAATGTAAATCAAGTGACCATGGGGATGCGGCAATGGTCATCAGTGTGAAAAATTGTCATAAGTCACTTTTTTCAGTGCCATTGTAACTTTGGTCACTAAATGAACTGTTGTAAGTCAATCTGTATATACTGTTTCACTAGACTAAGCGTTTGAGTTGCATTAGGTGATTGGGAACACTCAACAAGAATTTTTTTTTTCCTATTTTGACTTGTGATCTACTTGGATCAAGGACTATGTGCTGATTTATGAACCTATCAGTCTGTGAATGGCTAGAGTGGGTAAACATTTTTGAAAATTAAATTTAATCCTATATTGCAATGATGTTTTTCCTTATCTGTTGTAATTTGCCTGGACTGTCTGCTGGAAGAATCGCTGCATTTCAGTGAAGAAAAACTTACTGTATCCACATCTGTGTTTGAAAGGAATTGATAAGTAACAAAAGCTGGGAAGAGAGATTGCATTATTAACATAATAGGAGTCCAAGATGAGGATATTTCTTTGAAGTCTCGAGAAAAGCCCAAGTCCTTTGGCTCTATATAAAACACAGTTTATGTAGGCAAACAATTAGGAATGACTTATTCTAGGTGTGAGTGGACAATTAATGTTTCTGCAGAATGTTATGATTTCAGTCTTTGATGTTTCAAAAGTGTTTGGAAATTTCTTAAGTTGGATATTGTGTTGAGCTCAATATTTCAAAGTTAGTTACTACTTACATAAAAGGCGGTGCTTTTTTTCAAATTGGTGAAAAGCATCTATGAACTAGTCATGTTTTTGAACTTTCATACTGTTTACACTGTAAAGTCAATAAAAAAATTAAAATATTGGCTAAAATAACTGTATTAAACTGCTTTCTGTTTGATGCTAAAAGATGCTGCAACCAGGTGAGACATACTATGTGGGAAATGAGGCTATGTCAGATAATAAAGTGAACAATTCCAAGTCATGGAAATAGTTCAAGTCTTTTCTCAGTTAAATAATGCATTTTATCTTTGAGAATACATTTTACCACATGGAGGAAATGTGCAAATCACTTTGGAGTCTCTCAAGGAAGGGAAGGACAAAAATAAAATACTGTATATGGTATTCTATGTATATGGTAATACTACTATAAAGGGATTACAGAGATGAAGTGGGGACAATCTTCATTTTATTTAGATACTTGGAGTAAAGAGTGACTCAAAAGATCATATCAATAACAACCAGTGATTCTGTCAGTACCTTGATATTTTTTTATCTTAACTGTCTTTAAAAATGTAACTTCATTCAAATGTGGCAATAGAAGTTAATATGGCCCATTATTTTTTGTGAAGAAAGAATTTTTATGAAAAGAGCAGTGCATAAATGCTTAAAGAAGATAGCAAATTCACTTGGAAATGGGTGGTTTAATTTTCAAGTTTTAAAATATTTTTTAGATAAAGATAACAATGCCTTTGAGAGAAAGGTGGATGTACTCTGTTTCTACTGTTCAGCTTTTTTCTGACAGGCAGATCTGATTCTAGGTTCTCTCTCAGGTGGCTGGCACAAAAACGGGTATTTTGCTGCACAGTTTCTGCAATATTTGATTATCTCTGGAATAAGTGATAAGAGCCTCTCCTCAGAAGTTCTCTGTGAAGCTTTTAAGAGGTCTTTTCCCAACTGGTAAGAGCTATCCCAATTCTCAGGTTCTCTCCGCTAGTATTCCCAGTTTTTAAATTCAGCAGAGGACCTGTGGAGGGATAGTCTGGGTATTTACAAATGACTTTTCCCCATATAGCTCAGCATCTTAGCAACATGATTGGACAGGACTGGAGCAGGGGTATGAAGGCAATTGTTAATGTATTCCAGAACCTGTAATTACTCTGAGGACAAAGATCTGCTTGCATGATAGACGTTGCATTCTTCTGTGAATCAATTGGAGGAAGCACAGATTGATTCATAATAATCTTTGAACATTCTGTTTTTGTGGTGGCAGAAATGAAGATAATTGTTTTGGATGTATCAGAGTGGAAATGGAAATGGTGTAGAAGGCTTTGCGTTTAAATTACAATCTAATAGATCTTGGCCTAAATAGAAGGTGTGGTTCAAAATGAACTGTGGATTTTCATCCAGTAGATAAGCCTCTATTGTTAATAATATTTTTAATTCTTTAATCAGAGTTGCCACATACAGCAGTGACATTTTTGAGTGATGAACTGCATAGCAGATACTGATACTTTAATATTTAGTTATTTCTAAGCAAAATTGTGTTGAGTGTTTTTATGTCGCTTCAACTATGCTTTTTTTTAAGGCTATGAGAAGTCTGTAGGTAGAATATTCATTTAAGTCCCCCCCCTCCCTCTGTTTATCCACTATATTGAACATGTTTTTCCACTATATTTTGAAGTCACCCAGTAAAGATAGGTATACATAGTTCACTGGATTATTGTAAATTAGATTTACTGTGTTAAATAGAAAGCCTAAGCCCACTTGAGTATTCCAAGTGTGTGCCCTATAGACAAAAAAAAAGCATGGGATAACAAAAGATATAATACAGGTAGTCCTTGACTTATGACCACAATTGAATCCAAAATTTCCATTGCTGAACAAGACAGTTATTAAATGAGTTTTGTCCATGTGAATCTGGATTCCCTGTTGACTTTGCTTGTCAGAAGCTCACAAAAGGTGATCACATGACCCTGGGACATTACAACCGTCAAAAATACATGTCTGTTGCCAAACATCCGAATTTTGATCACATGACCACAGGGATGCTGCAACAGTCATAAGTGTGAAAAACTGTCAAAATTCACTTTTTTCAGTGCAGTTGCAACTTTGAAGGGTCTTTAAATGAACTGTTGTAAGTCGAGAACTGTCTATATATTGAAATCTGTTCTTGAGAGAGCCACCACTTTGTGTAGAACCTGCTTTCTTTCCTTCCTCAAGCAGGTGTGTAGCTGCAGATATCTTTCTTGAATCTGCTAAGCTTTCTTTCCTAAGGACTACTTTTCAAAAAATTCTTTAATGAAAAGGAACTAGAGGCTAGTATGCAGCAAAGATTCAGTCCCTGTATCCAACATTAGTTATAAGAATGCATCTAGGCTTGATATGTAGTCATGGAGGCTAAAAAGATAAATAAATGCAGCCCAGTGCTTTATTTGGGAGTGCATTCATGTCTCCCAGAAGAAGATGAAGATAAATTGTGGAGGGGGCTAAAGAGCAGATGAAGAACAACCTCACAAATTTGCACTTTAGTAAATGTATTATTTTTTTTACTGGCCATGAATCTCACAGATGCCATTTCATAATGGTTATCAATACTGTATGTTCAGAATTCCTACCAATGTCTTGAAAATGAGACCTGATTTTAAATGATCTGAAATTAGAAAACATTTAATTCCAATGATTAGTGCTTGCTGTTGATAGTTTTTTAAAAAGACTTGACTCTTCAGTTCTTTTTCCAGGGAAAAAGATACACATTGAGAGAGCTCTTACCATGAAGTTCTTTATCTCTAATCGGTAGAAATAATTTAGTTATATTTTTATCAAATTCTGTAAAAGTCTCAATTCTTTTACTCTGGGACTATTTGCAAAATAGTGACTTCACAGTTGGAAAGTTAAGATACAAATATATTGTATCTTTAATATATTCTCCAAGTTCAGTAATCAAACCTTTCATTTTCTTCAAACAGGTCATCATTTCATGTTTTCTCACCTGGAGTGAAGATGGTGAGTGTGGGGGTAGGTACAAGGTCAGATTGGGTAAGAAAATCCAGTCCGGGATCTGGGTAAGTTTCATAATAGGTATTTCTATAGTGTATTATGTTATTGATATGCTTCTGTCCCTAGCATTTTTCTTTCCATTTGTAGAACTTATACAGAGACAGATGAGGCTGTCTTGCGAAGAAGGCAAAAGCAGATAGATTATGGGAAAAATACCATTGGTTACCAGCACTTTGTCCAACAAGTTCCCAGGTAAGCAGTAACTTTCTCACTTGGTTTTTATTAGACCTCTACATAGCAGTAGTTTGGGTGGGCTCCTACTATGGTCATCACTAGCAGTTCCTTTCAAAGTCCTGGTATTTGGTCTGTTCATTTTAGAATCCGGTCTTGAGGTAAAGACCCTTGAAAAATTTGCTTTAACAGTTCTCTCTGTGCTCCTTCTTTGGGAGGCCTTGTGGTGCCTTTTAATTTCTCACACTTCATTCCAGGATGGCTCGCCAATCAGGTATTCATCCCTGTACTCCAAATAAATATAAGAAGTACAGTCGTCGCTCATGGGACATGCAGATTAAGCTTTGGCGAAGGGCACTTCATGGTTGGGATCCACCTGGACATGAGAGGGAAGTATTTCTGATAATAAAAATGCTGCCCAACTCTCAACAAATCTGAGTGACTCACAATAATCAAATAAAACAAACAACAAAAACAAAAATTACAATTAAAGCTAAAAGATGGCAAATGCAATGAAGCAAGCAGTGTTACTCCCCTTCACCAAAGGCCTGGGTGAAAAGTTCTTCAGGCTCTTCTAAACAACACCAGAGTGGGGGCCTTCCTCTTCTCGGGAACTATTGTTGGTGAAGCAGATGCTATGGGAGGCAGGCAGGCCGTAACCACCTCTATGCTTTTAAGTACATGTAACAACCAGCACCTTCAATGAAACCCAGATGCAAACTGGCAACTAGTGCAGTTTGCAAAGCAGAGATGTTATTTGGGCATATGGAGGCATGCTTCATTCTAGACCAGAGGTGCTCATGGCCTGGAGGGAAGGAGAGCAGCTCTCAAATTGGTGTGTGCACATGAACAGGGCCACGCACACTGGTGTGGCACTAGCGGCCCCATTAGCGCATGTGGCATGCACTGGCACTGTGAGCATGCGTGAATGGCTGTGCACCCCCCATAGCGACTAGCAGCACCATCCGCACATGCGTAAACAGGCTGTGCAACCCGCTCAGGGCTATCGTCCCCGTTCGTGCATGTGCAAACAGGCTGCACATACCAGCCTGGGGCTAGCGGTCCTGTTTGCACATGCGCATATGTGCCACGTATACTCACCTGGCGCTAGCAGCCCTGTTTGTGCATGTGCACGGGTCCAAATGGGGCTGCAGGCACTAGTGCGAGGGGAATGCGTGCGTGCACCAGCCAACCATTTCAGTGGCTTGCTGGCCAAGAGCCTGCAGCCCGGTCCCAGGCCGCGAACCATAAGTTGGGGACCCCTGTTCTTAACCAATTGGAGTTTTTGGGTGGTTTTCAAGGGCAGTCTCATATAGAGCTTGTTGCAGAAGTCAAATCACAAGGTGACATGAGTGTAAATGACTGAAGGGCCCTCATCTAGGAAACAGTATAAGGGGAACACCATGGAGTTCTGCAAAATATCTTTCTGGCCACAGCTAACACTTGTTCATCAAGTAGGAGATCTGAGTCCAGAAAGACCCTCAGATTTCTAGTTTTGCTTATTTGATTCGAGCAGAAAATTTTGAAAGTAAATTAAGACCCACCCAACCATATAGTTCTCTGGTCAGATATTTTGCTATCAGAAACTTACTAATAAAATTCATCTTTTGGCAGGCTTACTTTTAATCATAATTCTGTATTGTAAATAGCCACTGTTATTGTGGAATATTTACTATCAGCAGCCTGGTGACCCACTTATAAAGTAACGCTCCCACACTATTCAGGAATTGCAGGCCTAGTCTCCAGTCTATATGCACTCTCCTTGATATTCCTTATCACCATGGAGACAGAGTTAATTGTCAACAGAGTTGTCATGTTCTTCAGTGAGAGTAAATGGTTTTGGTGCCCACCAGAGGCTGGGAGTATTTTGCACTATGTTAAGGTGGAAAATGAGAAGGGTCACATATACTGTATAAGGAAAGAAGGAAGAAGTGAGTAAAACACCATTTTATATTTTCATTCCTTTAATTTCCATGCATTGCCTATATATTGCCTACCATTCTGTGGCAGAAGGTGGAAGCGTTTTTAAGCTGACGTATTCAACTACTTCTGTTCCATTTTTCCAGTGGGTTTTATTATTACATTCTAAGATAGGAGTATGGAACATTTTGTGGGTTGAAGATTGAATTCCCTAAAAATGTTTTGAAGAGTCACATGGCAATTGGCAGGGCCACAATCCAAAGTGATTGGGTCACCTTCTTTTCTCTCTGGGCTCTAAATGAATTGTCAGCCAAAACTAGACAGCTCTTTCTGGAGGTCTAAACCAACTGTTAAGATAGACAACTGCAGATTGCTTTTTCCCAGTTTAGGCACTAAAGTTATTTAATGCATTTGCTGCCTGGCTTAGTATGATCAGTCTGTTCTGTTTTGCAAGGCAGGAGTTGGTGACCAAAATGGATCTTTTGTCTAATCTCCCAAACGACTGGTTTGATGCTCAGTGTATTCAGGAAAATATTTGTAAAGAAGTCCTAGGAGAACAGGTATTAGGATTTTGTTTAATTATATTCTATATGGCCTTATTTTGGAATAGTTAAATAACAAAAGGATTTGACAATGTGTGAACAATATCATAACCTGTATTTAATGCTAAGCAGAGTTGAGCATTCTATATCTTTATGTGACATAAAATTCTAAGTATGGGCTTAGTGTTATCTTTCTTTTTTAAAATGATATCTTCGGATCAGTCACTAACTTAGACTACTTATTTCATGTTATTTTTATGCTCCCATAGATTTCTGGATTGTCATCTTCTGGCCCTTTTTATCCACTGCTTCAGGATACTCCCTCCAACAGGGAATATTTCAAGGAAGACGTTGAAGACTGTCCATTTGACTCCTGGCTTTTATTTTGTTCTCATAGGATCTCGGCACAGTCAGTGATCTAAAGGAGAACACTTAGAGCTAATTTCAAGGAGATTTTTTTTGCCACTGTGGCCCACTTGTATTGTCACTCAGTTTGCTACAAATTCCATAACTTTGTTAACAAGATGATCTTCCATTTCTATATTTGATAGTTTTCTATATAGAGTAATCATTTTTTGACTAGAACACAAAGGCATTTCCTGTTGCCTCTCCGTATTTCTATTATAAGTCTACATTATAAAGCAATTGATGACTGCTATTAAACTAAAGCATTGTGGCTTGTTGGTTGCAGTAAGAAAATTGAGAATCAAAGTTCTGAAATATGTACAGGTAACTAAATTGCTCTGAGCTCATGTTCTATCACTAGATTTGTTATTGGTTAATTCCAGTGTTTCACATATGCACTGTGATTGGATAAAATAATACGTTTTGTATTTGATTCTTAATTGGCATTTATTTGCTTTGAATGTGAATGTTACACTTGTATGATGAAGCATCTTGCATCTTTGGTAAAAATACTTTTGTTAAATCTGAATAAGTGTGCCCTATGTAGGAATATTCAGACAGCTTGTCTTCCAGAAATTCTGTAACAGCAACAGACAGCAACAAGCAACAGAATCATTGGAATATGTTTGCCTGAGTGTAAACTATTGAATTTCATTTGGTTATTTAAAATGGCTTTAAGGAAAAAAATAAGGCACAAATTGTAGGACTGGTTCACACAATGTATTGAGCAGAATCTCTCTTATTTTTTAATGAACTACAGTGACCTGGTGTATGCAAGTTAAAGCATAATAAGTGGGTTCACATAACACTGACCAAAATCACATTTTTACATTAGCAGTGAATACAGATACTTTGTCAATCTTTAGACACGATGACAGTGTTAAGTTGTAATTCTAGGATTATATTCATATGATACATAGAACTAGAAATTAGCTCACCACATTTTAGCTTTGTAGATCTGCAAATTCAGCCCATGTGTTTAGTAGGTGGGTAGTAGAGCACATTGATTGGGTTATGTTAACCATAAGTAAGCATGTGCTAATACAAGTTATGTACTTTTCTGAAAGTAAATCATATTTGCTTTACTGAAACTTAACAAATGTTGGAGTACTGTACACTGTAATTATTCATACACTCCTACAATCTGTCATACTTTATTCCAATTAAGGTAATAGTTGTTTATTTATGCTTTCTATAAGTAGGCTTAGAGATACTTTTTTTTAATTAATGGAAGGGTCAGCATTCAAGAGTAATAGTCTCAGCTGGCTGTTGTGCAATTTCAGATAGGAATTAGATGTCAGGCAGAAAGCAAAGTATTCTTGACATGCTCATAAGTGCTATATTTTAGATATAATTTTTAGCACAAAATATGAATTCGTAAATATGCATTTAATAAAAATGAGCAATCTCAGATTTTCAACTGTGCCTATGGCTCGCAAGAAATCCGAAGAACGAATTGCACCCCCGTCAAAGATTGTCCATCCTTGTAAAAAACAAAAAAACACCCAACACATTGTACTACGTATCCCATCATACTTTGCTGCGTGGAACAGTCCATGAGGGGGGGGTTACTTGTGGGGCCAACAGACTGCCTCATAAAAGATGAAATATTTTCGTAACCGGAGGGAGGCCTTATGCTAGCTCCGGACGAATGCGTGAGTCTGTTTTCTGAAACTGCCTTCTCAATTGCCCCGAGAGATTTTTACCCTCCCCCACTGTTGTGTGGTTGGTTTGGCCCAAGCAAGTCGATCCACTCCCGACGGAAAGGGGAGCGGAGGCTCCTGGCGGGGGGCTGGGAGCCCGGGCCGCCGGGTGGGGGCGGCAGCTGGAAGACGGAGGGCTGGCCGGCAGCGGGTGCTAGTGCTTGAGAGTCCAGGAGGCTATCTCCCTTCAGTAGATGGTTGGTTCCAGTGGTGTTTAGCATAGGGAGTGGGGGGCGCGTGAGACTATTGGGGCGCACTACTTCTCTGGCTGAGCCGCCTCGAGGTGTTGGAGCTGCCGCCCCCTCTAGCAGGCGGGGGAGGGATCGGGTGTTCGGTACGTGTCGAAGGGGCTGCAGAGCCTGAGTGGGTAATGCAAGGGGGGGGGGGCGGAAAGGGGAAAGACTCTGGGCGTGAGGGGGTAACCAGCAAAGGCTAAGGTGGGATGGTCTTTGTGAGAGATGGGGCTTGTGGACATGTTGTCATAAAAGGAAGTCGAGATGGTTTTGTTTTTATGCGGGAGGGGGTGGTGATGGAGACAGACAAGGTGGGGATTTCGGGAAAGGAGGTGGCTGTTGTCGCTAAGTGGGTGAATCTGTATGGGAATTTGGGGGTGGAATGGAGGGCCTTGGTGGAGAAGTGGGGAGGAGGTGATTGGCTCCTTCAGAAGAGGGTGGAACAGGGCCTGCTTTGTTAGAGACTGCGTCCCCTGTGGATGCATTTCTAAAACTAGGTTGATGGGACCCATTCTTAAAACAGTTGAATCACACTGCTTGATACAGTCTTGGCGTGGAGTCTTACTATGTGTCTTGTAGCAGAGAACCCTGAGGTTGCTTAAGGCCCACCTCTGATTTGTGCTTACTAAGTAGGTAATTATGTAATTGAAGGAACTGAATGAAATGAAATTACATAGGACGGGATGAGAAACCAACTGCAAAAGAAAATACTTTCTTAAGGGGTTGGCATGCTCTGCTTTAATGTTAAAGGAATCGGGTAAAATGGCTTCATTTATCTGGAGCCTTAAAGGCCCATGACCTGAAGCTATTAAAATGAGTACAGGAAGATGCAGTGTATAATTGCAGAACAGGAAATGAAGCAAAAGAATAATTTTGGCTAACAATAATGAAGAATAATGAGGAGGTGCTTTCCAGTTAATACAGGATTTAAATTCTACTTATTTTTCCACACTTCTTTTACATTATTTACTTGAGGCTTGTGGAAAATTATAGTATGTGTTTTTAGCTGATTCTTAACAATAGACCTACTAGTTAACGTGGAAAGATACTGACTTATTCAAGGCCACCCAGTAGGCTCCCTGACTTAGCAGAGGACTGAACTTCTTTCAGATGCAAATCTAGTATATTCTATTAACTGCTAAATTAATCAGGATTAAAATTCTTGATTAAATTTAAAATGGATCTAATATAAATTGTCTAGATTAGCATCTAAGACACATTTAGTCCAGAAAAAGTTTTATAAATGCCTATAGGTGTAATATTGATTTTAATGATGATTTCTATTAAGTGAAATGCAAAACGTAGAAATGTAGAGGAGCAAGTTCCATTAATTTAAATTAATTTGCTCCAAAATAAGCCTGGTTTTGCATAACTTCCTAGGCTAAAATAAAGTGGGTGACTCTCTGCATTGTGCAAACCCAGCCAGTACTGTATAGTTAATGTATTGGCTAGTGTGCACTATGTACCCAGGCAGCTGGGTTAATTATGGGCTTGCATGTTGTGTGAACAAAGCCTCAATTTACAACTGCAGTTAATTTATAATAGTAACTAAATTGTTGTAGATATCTCTTTAAAATGTAAGATAAAAAGTTTTTTTTAGATAGCCCTCTTAATTCTTACTGAGTATAACATTTTTGAATATGCATTTTATTGTTTCTACTTATTTAGCACCAATAGTATATTCTACCTCCCTGAATTTCAAAAGCAAATCTAATCAGGGGGGTAGGTATCCACCCTAAAAGTCCTTAACATTTAAAGCAAGCAATGAAGAAGAGAATAAAACAGGGGAGTAAGAAGAGGAGGATGGAGAGACTGAATGTGAGCAAATCTACTTAAATTAGTACTAGATTTCCAATAAAAGCCCCTTTTCCTTTTGTACAGTATTTTTTTTTGTTTTTAGAATTCTATTTTTCTCTATTGATATATTTAACCATTATTTACCTTAAATGATAGACTAATAAATCTATGGAGCCCCTTCCCCCATGGGAGTAAAAAGGTCTTTTGTATCACTTTTATTATTAATGTTTGAGCAGAAAGGATATTATGGAACTTAAAGATACTAAAAAAATAAGAAATGTAACATAAAAAAATTAATGGAAGTATGGTTTCAGAAAAAATCATATCTTTCCTGTTTTTTCTCATTTAAGATAGATGTTAGGCTGCCAACTATTTTTATGTGAAATATAGTCACTTACCTGTGATTAAATGATGAGTGAGTTATACTAATCCTTGGATAGTTTATTAAGTTATAATTGACTGAGTTTGTAAAATTAATCTATAAACCTACTTGTTTCGACTTCAAATGCAGTGTAAACCTAGCCATTATGATTCATGAATTATAATTTATAACCTGGTACAAATTGTTGATTGTGGCTTAATCAACGTATTATTCTTAAAGATGTTAGGACAGCATAATTTGTGAACTAGGTTACTATATATATATATATTAACAAAAATACTATTCTTCCTCAAAAGTAAGCTTTATTGAAATCAGCAAGTGTGCTGATATATATTGGGTTGTACTACAAAGACTAGATTGGATGCAATGAAAACCTGTTGCTATGTACTTATTTATAGGTAAAATGTGCAGAGGATTTGAACCTTGCAATATTCAAAATATTGTATAAACATTAATCTGCTTTTCCTAAAAATGAATGAAAAAAATAACTTGTCTTCTGCTACATTTTAAAATTGTTTTGCTCACTTAAAAAAAACCTATAACAAAGTTTGTCTATGCTGATAAACAAAAAAGTACAGAAACTGGTCAGGCACTTGTCTGAAATGGTTTAGGGCAGGGGTAGGCAACCTTGGCTCTTTTATGACTCCTGGACTTCAACTCCCAGAATTCCTGAGCCAGCATGGCTCAACTTGGAAACCTCTCCCTTTCCCCTCAGCATGGCTGGCTCAGGAATTCTGGGAGTTGAAGTCCATGAGTCATAAAAGAGCCAAGGTTGCCTACCCCTGGTTTAGGGTCTCCTGCTTGAGCAAGAAGCTGGACTAGAAGACTTTGAAGGTCCCTTCCAGCTCTATTCTGATTGATGAGTTAATTTTCATTAATTTATACAAAGCAGAAGGATAAATTAACAAAGTATTCCAAAACAAATAAAGTATATTGAAAATTGAAGTAAATTAGTAAAATACAACATGAGAGATTAGTTATACAAATGAAGAAAGGAATCTCAAACTGGAGTAATGGTGGCAATATTAAATAGTTGACTGTAATTTATAATCCAATTTATTGAATGCTGAGCAATGCTGATAAACTGTCACATGGTCTATGGGACTATTCATGTTTTTGCATATAGTAATTAGTTTGGTTTCCTTATCATGAAGCATTGTATGTTTTGCTATATTTAAGAAGCGGTTTATTTATGTATTGGATTATGTGGCTACCCATATAAAGTAACTCTGGACAACTAACTATATTTATAGGAAATATGGTGGGGGCAGTAGGTCTGAGACCTTAAGGGTGGAGTGTTAAGAGTAAGGGCAAATTA